AAGATTAAATCCATTGAGATATGAAGAATCCATGCTTGGAACTCCAATAAAAATCTGACCATTCCAAGGACCACTACGCCAATATGGATGGCTACCATTCCGAACAAAAAGTTGTGGGATGTTCAGAGGCTCAACTCCAACGGAGAAGGTTCCAACAGATGGATTCAAAGGACTTTTCCATGATGTTAGCAAAGTACTTTCTTGTGTCTTTGCATCAGTACCAATTGTCATCTTCTGTAAGAATGAGTCTGAAGGATGTTGAAAACTTTCCCATATGATCTGTCTACTGGAGTTGTCTCGCAAGTTGAGGTTCCCGGTATCCAAAAGCTGTGCACTTGAATTTGCCACAGGATTTGAAACATTTGATGACCAAATGATCTCCTTCTGTCCATTCAAGATTACAAGATTACCATCCTCCGATATTGTCACAATACCGGAAGAATCATTTAGTGGCTTGTTTCTATTAGCTACCCAAACCGGAGTCACTACAGAGACGTTGCACAAGATACCAACATAACGATTTGTAGAATTCACAGGAGTAAAGAATCCCAGCTTGAAGATCTGGCCAATGGAGACGATAGTTTCAGAGTCTTTGATGTATTGTGTGGATGTAATGATGTCTGTGGAAGTGCAAAACTCTGAACAAAAACATACAAGTATGAGAACAAGGGCCTGAAAAGGCATAACCCTTGCATTGTCGGGATGTCCTATATGTCATGGACTGCTACTTCCTGGTGAGGACAGAAGGTAGTATGTGCTGCCTATAGACTTCCACGAACAAAAGCTCAATTTCTTCACTTCAACCATATACTTTTCCACGTGAAATAAGATATTTCCTTGAAGAAGCAAGTAGGTTGAGACTAAATTCTCTCGGTAAGTCGAACTTTCTTTACTGAAAAAAAAATCTTTCCAGAAGCCGTCAGGTTGGATTTCACATATGGTGATTTTCACACTTTCAGATTTTTCTTATTCTTCGACCATCTCCGACCTTGACTTATATATAAACTCAAATTTTAATTTGAGTTAAAATAACTTAAAAAACTTTTTCAACCTTAAACTCAAACCTAAAACAAATCAATGCAAAATTTATTCTGGATTCAAATTAAAACAACCTCAAATTATATAACAAATTTCTATAAAACTAAAAAACTCTATCACTGACCGTCACCGAAACTTTCACAAATCAGCTTGTGGGTAAATTTTTTCCTTTTCATCTTTCATCTTCTTGATTTCTTATATTTTTCAAAACCTTAATCTCATCCATCTTTCATACTATATAAATCTTAAATTTATCAATCAAATTTTTCTTTGATTTTTTCGATTTAAACACAATCAATAATACAATTTTACATCACCGATTCTTTCTAAAATTTTAATTCTTCCACACCCACAAATTTAAAAAAATTGTCATTTTATTTCTTTAATGTTCTATTTTTGTTAAAAACATATGTTTTTATGTTTTTGAAACTAGATCTATGTCAAAATAGTTATATTTTTTTTTCTTTATTTGGATTTATAAAAAATAATAATAGATTAGAATAATCTTAAAATTACGGGATAGTTTCTTTATTCCTATCTAGTGTTGTATATATATTCATTTTTTTGTAAATGAAGGATTTGTGGAGAGATATGAAAGTTTCATTTATTTTATCAAATATTATTATTAGACACAAATTAATAAACAAATTAGATATTAGTGAAATTTTTTATCATACTAACTTGCAAAATACCCAGCACGGATAGAACACATGCCTACAAATAACCCAACCCGATCTGACATGCTTACCCGACCCTCCCCTTCTTATTCCTTTGTGCTTGTGGTTTCACAACCCAAACGCCAACTCTAAACCCCCCCCCAGCCACCACCACCACCACCACCACCACCACCACCACCACCACCACCACCACAACGAGGCTGTTACCCACAAGAAGGGTTGTAGTAAGTCTAGCAATAGAACCAATGCCTATTAACACAGATTTATATTTCACATCTATTCCAATTTTTTTTAAAGTACTATGTATACAAATATAAACAAGAAGGCTTCCCATTAGGCATAATAGGAAGTTCCACTGAAATACCATGTTTACAACAACAACAACAACAAAAGATTAAAAACAAAATGATCTAAACCAATGAAATAATATATAGACTGCAATGTCCATATACAAATTCATCTACCCACAATGTACCTGTGGTCATGTAGATTCTTCAGCTGAATTAACAATTGCAGCAAATCCAACATATGCAAAAAATACCACAGTTGCTCTGACTGTGGTGGATGTATGAGAGAGAAAACCATTTGGGGCAAACGGTAAGAAAACTGACACATCAACCTTTAAAAGCTCGGTGTTAAAAAAAAAACCCTTTAAAAGCTCGGACTGTGGTGGATGTGAGAGAGAGACTTAGAGGATTAGGGTCAGGGTGGTGGGTGGTAGAGCGATGATGGGCAGATTTTACGGTTAGTATTTGGGTGGTGCCACCAGAACAAGAAAGAAAGAAGATGGGGAAAAGGTGCACAATGAGAGTGGCCACCCACAGCCACTCCAATGGACCCAAAGGTCTCTCTTTAATCTATTCAAACCGTATTGAACCAGAGATTGGAGTAGGAAATTGGGCATATATAATCTTTAAACCGTGAAGTAATGCCCACAAGGGTAACTTCACTTTGAACATGCTTTACCGACCACTTTTTTTTATTTCTTCAAACTGCTAATAGTCCTTTTATTTGGAAGACAAATTTTTCATATTAACCAGGATGCATCAAATTGAAAGAGAGAGAGAGAGACCGAAGATCTAGTGAGACTCGGTGACTGCTAAATGAATAATCATCCTTCATACATGTACAAAAAGGTTTTCAACCTTCACTTTGAAATGACACCTTTAATTGACAAATTTGATAAATCTACCAATTTATCACTTGAAATAAATAAGGTAAAGTTGTGTCAATCATACATTAAAGAAGCAATCGTGTTTATAATTATGTGACCTAATGATATTGGGGTTGTATAACCACTCTATTATCATTTACAATATAATATAATGCTGCATAGTTGACTTAATGGGAAGATCAAAAATGAAAATCATTCTCATGATTTGCAAATTATGACCCTCCATGATTGTGATGGTGAGATTGTTGATAGAACCCTGTTTTTGACTCTGATGAGAAGACTGTGTTCCTGAATAAACAAGTTTTTTCAGTAAATGCAAGTTGTTTTGGAAAAGAAAGATCTACAATTTCACTACCAAGCATCGAAAGCACAGTCGACACATTTGACCTCTCTTTTGCAAATTCTTGGAAGCATAATAGTCCTACATGAATATATTTCAATTTTTCCATTTTGAAGGACGGATCAGACATCACTGGATCTACTAGAGCACCAACGTTATCTTCATTCCACAATTTCCATGCCTGAGCACATCAAGATGAGAATCCAGTGTTGGATTTGGAACATTCAATATCAACCGAAAGGTAAGGCCCGCAAATATTTGTCTTAGTAGATAAAATGAACTTACAAATCTTAGAAGGCTAAAAGAGTTCTCATCATCATAAAAGCTGGTGTTCCTTCTCCCTGATATAGTCTCTAATATCAACACTCCGAAACTGTAGACATCAGATATTTCTGAGAATATTCCTGCCAATGCATATTCAAGTGCCATATAACCACTGCATCAAAAAAAAAATAGCATAAATAGTATATCATGAAGCAATTTCAACAAAGAGATGTCTACTTACTATGTTCCAACGACCTTTCTAGTATTGGCTTGATCTTGGTTGCCTTAAAAAATCCTTGCCATGCCAAAATCTGAAATCTTTAGATTTAGCTGTTTGTCCAACAAAATGTTACTCGGTTTTAAATCTCTATGAATAATTCTTAATCTGGAATCTCTATGAAGGTAAAGCAGGCCACGTCCAATCCCTTCAATGATGTTGATACGTTTACTCCAATCAAGGAGTTCTTGTTTTGGTGAATCTGGATGTTCCATTTTTGGAAGAAGTGTGAAAAGGTTGTAAGCTGAAGGAAATTGAAGTTCAGATGCCTATTATCTTTTGAATGCAATGAAGCAATAGTAATGCATAAGCAATGACTTAGGAACTACAATTGATTTTCAGCTAACCAAAAAGAAATGCATCCAAGCTTCCATTTGGCAAGTATTCATATATCAACATCTTTTCTTCTCCTTCTACGCAGCAGCCAAGAAGTCGAACAAGATTGCGATGCTGGAGTTTAGAAATCACCACAACTTCATTCATAAACTCCTCTAGACCTTGTCAAGAAAATCTTGAAAGTCTTTTTTCCCTGAAAATAGTAGTCATCAATTTTATATGGTTCAACATGGCATAAATGTGAGATGAACTTGCATTACCTTGTATACTGGTCCAAAACCACCCTGCCCCAGCTTGTTACCAAAATGAAAGTTATCTGTTGCATTTGCCAAATCCTCCAAACTATATAATAACAGTTCCTCAAGATTAGGTTGGTGGGTATTCTCATGCAGCACACTTTCAGTAGAATACTCCGGATACAGTTCCGCCCTTCTAAATAATAATTGCTTACTTTTTCTGCTTCCTCCTGATGCCGAAAGAAATTAGTAATGATTTTTATTTGCAATGAAGATTTCTATATGCTTCTAAGATAATTCTTATAAACATATTACCTTTGTGTTTGGCCATCCACCTCCAAAAACAATATGCGCAGATTGCAATGGTTATTGACCCTATGCTTATTGTAATTGCGAGAACTTTTTTAACGTTTTTCTCTTTGTCTATCAAATAGAACAAACTCTTAAGAGATTTCAGTATATAATGAGCAAAAGAATTAAGTTTGCATTTGAATGGATGGCTTTGCAAAAGAAAACTATTGCAAACAACTTGAAACAGAAACAATATGCAAGGAATTTCAAGTTGACTCTTAAATGCAGTGGACATATAAGAACTCTGAACCAGCAAATAACCACATTGACAAAAGGAAAAGAAGATAAGCAGAAGCATAGGTGAAATTCACCGGTGACGAAACATATTACCAAGCTCTGAATATGCCACTCGAATGTAAAGATCCGCCCCACCATCCGAGAATTTTTGGATGTCAATTAGACTTCCACTCCATTGCATACACCCAATTCTAGAGTAACCTGAATAAGCTATACATGAACAGTTATTCAAGCACAGGCTTCCACAATTGTCTTCTAGACCAAATTTCAAAAATCCATCCCCTTTTCCCTTTTCATTGACGGTATTGTTGTTGAGATTTAACACGATTTAAATTCACTAACAAACACACACAATCGAAGAACAAATTAAGAATATAAAGCAATAAGAAGCAAGAAAGAACGAGACACAGATTTTACGTGGTTCGGCAATTTGCCTACGTCCACGAAACTGCAGGGATTTCACTATTGAGAGAGTTGAATACAGAGAGCGGCTGTACAATCCACGATTAACCCTAATCACCAAAACAACAGGGTTTATATGTCCTACGCACTGGGCTATATAACGGGCCCAAATCGGTCCAAGCCTTCGCTCCATGGACTAAGCCTCAGAAAATTTTCCATTAAAAACCACACAACATTGCTTCGGGTCGGGTCATCATCCGGATCACATATACAAACTAGACTCCATAAAAAAAAACAAACAATTATTGTTTCTCTCACATTGCAATGGTGTCTTCCTTTTGCATCCACTAGACCAATTTCCTCGACTCCATTCATCCATATGCTTTGGCTTAAATCCCCTTAAACAGGTACAAATTGGTGACTCCACTGAATTACAGCTTCCAAATGGTCCACACTTGCCATAAACATCACACTCATTTTTTGGCGCCCACCACGACACGTTCCAGTCTTCTTTCCTAACAAATCGATGCTTCTGCGGTAGAGATGCTTCAGAATTCAACTGGAGGTATAATACAATGAACTCATTGGCAGAGCTAAAAGTTAGATCAACAGTTCCTTTATTGTCATCAACAAGATTAATTCCATTGCCATATAATTTATGCATTATTGGAATTCCTATAAAAACCTGACCATTCCAAGGACCACTACGCCAATATGGATGACTATCATTCCATACAAAAAACTGCGAGATGATTAAAGGATCAACTCCAGCAAAGAAAGTTCCAGTGGATGGATCCGAGGGACTTTTCCATGATGTCAACAGAGTGCTCTCACCTGTTTTTGCATCAGTACCAAGTCGCATCTTCTGTAAGAATTAGTCTGAAGGATGTTGAAAACTCTCCCATATGATCCTTCCACTAGAGTTATCTCCTAAGACAAGGTTCCCCGTATCCAGAGCTGGGCACTCGAATTGGCCACAGGATGCGAAACATTTGATGACCAAATGATCTCCTTCTGCCCATTTAGGATGACCAGATTATCATCCTCGGATATTGTCAAAATCCCAGATGAATCATTCAGAGACTTATCTCTATTGGCAACCCATACCGCAGTAGTTGCAGGGATGTTGTCCAAGATTCCAACATAACGATTTGTAGAATTTCCAGGACTAAAGAATCCAAGCTTGAAGGTCTTTCCAATGGAGACTATAGTTTTAGGGTCTTTGATGAATTGTGTGGGTGTAATAGTGTCTATGGAAGTGCAAACCTCTAACCAAAAACATAGAAGTATGAGAACAAGGCCTTGAAAAAGTGAAAACTTCGGATTACCGGAACGTGCCATATGTGATATGAGTGCTTGTTGGTGAGGAGGGAAGGCTATATGTGAGTTCTATAGACTTCTGCACGGGATAATACCTATAATAGTATGAGACAACGATCTCCACGCTGGCGAACCTGAAACAACAAGGTCAGAAAAAAGGGGGTCAGGCGTGTGCCCGGCTAATCTCCTCCGAAGCTTAAGTCAGTATAAGATCGAAGGGTTTTGCTTAATGGACTATTTTTCTAGTTCAAGTTTGCGTTCCTTTGTCCATTTTTATGAGGAGTATTGATACCTGAATTAACAATGATTGTCAAAGATCTCAAGTCCCATCTGGACATTTTACATCTGACACACCATTCCTCGTGCAATTAGTGTTTTCTACTCACGTCTCCTTTTATTGAATGCAAGGAAAATGGGGTACATGCTCGATCAAATGCTGAGCATTTATGCTACTCCCCGAGTACCCAAATCTCCCAGATTGGCATCTGACATCGACTGAGCATTAAATACTCGGGGGAGAACAGTTTCTTGGGAGAGCCGATCGCATCGTCTCGGCGCATCAGCTATTAATGCTTAGCCATCATGACAATAGGCTTAGACTCCTAGAGGGCAGGTGCTGGCAGACACGCATTTATTTGTCTTATCACTATCACTCATTTCCCCATAAATGTGGGGTTATATCGCATTAAATACGATGTCAGCTGTAGTACTCGGCGTCTCCTAGTTATCGCACCTCGCCTTATTCCAAGTGTTAACCTAGGGGCCGTAGAGTCAGCTAGAGTCTCGCCAACTACCCCCAGCCGCCATCCTTTTCGCCGTGTAAAACAAGTGGCGTAAAGAGATTGGGGGCTCCATCATCATGCCTTATTAATAGCGACGGTTACTTGCACGTTTGGTGCCGCCCTTTTCAAATGCCCTAATGATGACCCAACTTTTCAATTTTCGCTCTCTGTGAGGCAGTATAAATAGGAGGTTTTCATACCTTTTCAGAACTTTTGCATCATCAACCTCTCTTCAGCAATCAGACCCCGAGTGCTCCTCTGTTCTCCTCCGAGCTTCCTTTGTCTCCGAGCTCTCTCTTCGAAGACCACCTTCCTGTAAGTACTTCTACTTGAGCTTTTTCTCCCTTTATTTCCTCTATATTTCATCCTTTTAGCGCCCACCAATGGCTAGAACTAGTAGAACCAAGGGAGAGACGTCTATTAGGGCTAGGACTACCCACAAGTTGAGGAGAACCCAAGTGACTGATGAGAATATCAAAGCCTTTAGGGTTAGGTACCACATCCGTGAGCCTGTCTTCGCTTTCCCCTTCAACCCCACTCACCATAGGATGGATATGGGAAACGTGGGCATGATGCCTTTCTGGACGAAGGCCATTATGGAAGGAGGGTTGACCTTCCCCCTTCATCCCCTGTTGCTCGGTGCATTGATGCAACTGAAACTCTTTCACCTTCAATATTGGGTTAACTTCTTTAGGATTATGATGGGCGTAGTCGCCTTAAACGCTCGACTGGAGACTAACTTGGGGGTAGATGAAATTTTATTTTGCTGCGACCTGAGGCTAGTCGCCAGGGGGCGATATTACCTCCAGGCTCGAGATGCCTCAATGTATCTGGTAACCCACATGCCTAACTCGGACAAAGGGTATGTAGATGATCTGATCATGCTCGACGGCAGTTGGGAGAAAGGGACCGGGCCCGAGTATGACGAATTGTACTGCCCTAAACTGCCAAGGGATGAAGGTGTGTTTTTTTTTCGATTTCTTGATTTTGTTATTCTTAGGTTCGAGGGACGCACTAATTTTGCTTTACTTTTGTAGAAGGATATCACTGGGACGTTGCTCAACCGTTTAGGTCCCAAGTCTGGTTTGCCGACCTGCTAAGGGTTTGGTCCTTGGACCCAGTTAAGTGAGCGACACATACTCTCCTCGGCTACACTCCGACTTACAACCGATTCTCCCAGATCCCACCTCTTTTCAACCCTTCTATTTGGAAAGACTATTCCTCGTCGGAAGAGGAAGAATCCGAGGGAAATTCTGAAGAAGGGTCTGATCACGCTTCCAAACCCCTTGCGCTAGAGATGTTTAATCCACCACCAATCACTGCTGCTACAATGGAGGCTGCGGCGGCGGCAAGGAGAGCCAGGCTTGCCTGGTTAATCGGGCCTTCCAATACTACCCCCATCATCCCCCCACCTAGTTCTTCCCGGAGGCAATCGCCCCTGCCCCCGCCGCGTATGCAACAAGCAAGGGACCCAGCCGTTCCGACCAGGAAAAGGCCCCAATCTCAACAAGTCCCTGCTCCGGGAGACCAGCTGAAGGAAAGGCGTGCCCGGGACGCCAAACAATATAAGGAGCGTCGTGTGAAGCGGCGGCATGACTCCCCGGCCCCGGGCCCATCTATCTCGGGTGAGTGGGTTGGTCGGGCCGAGACCAAGAGCTGCCGCCCTGTTCTAAAAGCTGACTCTATCCTCGAATCCCCCTGAAGTGGCAATTGCCGTCACGGGGACACTTCAATTTGACGCTGATATGGCCGTGTACAAAGGTTACTCGGACAATCGACTTTTGATGAGCATTATCCAAAGCAACCTGGTGATAAGTTTAACACTTTTTCGAGCATTCCCCGCATCCTTTTGGTCGTCCCCTAATATTCCTCCTTTTTCAGGCCAGCCAGCAGGTGGGGGCCATAATTGAATATTTTTGGGAATATAAGCAAGAGGCTAAGAACATCGAACGAGCTGTAGCTGCTAAAGATGACCACATCCTCAAGGTCGAGAGAACCCTCAGTGACCAAACCAAGCACATCGTTGAGCTCATCCGCCACTGAGATGCCGTTCATGCCGAGCTGAAAAAGGCTAAGGCGGATGAAGTTGTGATGATAAAGAAGGCCGAGGAGTACGAGCTACGAGTGTCTTCCTCCGAAGTCAAGCTGCAAGAGTCCGAGTCTGTAATCAACGCTCATACTGCCAAAGTGAACTCCTTGATAGCAGAAAAAGTGGGGGAGTAAGAAAGGCTGCAATCGGAGTGTCAAAGGGTGTGGGCAGCCACTCAAAACCAAATGGTCCCCGCTTTCGAGGAAGCCAAGAAGAAGGCTTTCAAAGAAGGTTGGGACACCCCCTTCATGCTTGCCACGTCGAGGTAGGCTCGGACTTATTCGCCATGCATAGCTTTCGAGGGGAGGCTAATGACGAAGCCCTGGACGAACCGGTCCGATCCGACCTTGGTGACCACGTGGAGGTAGAAGGGCCGGCGGGGCTGAAGGTGGAAACGAGACCATCATACTCAACGACAGCTCTGACCAGCCTTCTCCTGCCCTTCCGCTTTTGCCATCTACCGAGCCAACAGATGATTTGCCCCCTCTGCCCCCAATCATTATTGGGGTGGATGACACCAAGCTGGATGAAATATTGGGGGTCAGAGGCGAGCTACAAAGGCGGCGTGGAGGCCTCGGTGGGGGAGTAGCCGGGGAGGAATGAGCCGAGGGCCATAGCAGTTGGTGGCCTGTCACTTCTATATCCTGTAATTGTTTTGTTGCTCTTTGTAACTCTCATTTGTACAGAATTTAGCTATTATTTGTATGCCTGGGGATGCAAAGCCCCTTTTCGATAATGAACTTCAGTTTTCTATAAGTGTCTTTTCTTTCCTGCATCAATCGTGTTTCAAGAAAATGGCCTCGACGTTACGTCAAGGATCTTTTGAAGTAGCAAGGCTTCACGCCGAATTCATAAGAGTAAATGCGTCGAACTTGCTGTTGGGTCTTAGGATCCCTCGGGATCGAGTATATATGAGGGTGGTCTTACACCCCTCGGGGCTATACCTCTAACGACCGAATGTTTGGCTCGTCAGTATTTTGAGGGCGTTGCTCCAAGGGTGGAGTCTTACACCCCTCGGGGCCGTACCCCTAACAACCGAGCGCTTGGCTCGTGTTATATTTTGAAGGCGTTGTTCCAAGGGTGGAGTCTTACACCTTTCGGGGTCGTATCCCTAACGACCGAGCGCGTGGCTCGTGTTATATTTTAAAGGTGTTGCTCTAAGGGTGGAGTCTTACACCCCTCGGGATTGTACCCCTAACGACCGAGTGCCTGGCTCGTTAGATTTTGAAGGCGTTACTCTGAGGGTGGAGTCTTATACCTCTCGAGGCCGTACCCCTAACGACCGAGCGCTTAGCTCGTATTAATGCAACCATGAAGATTGAAACCTGATTTAATAGTAGTATTTCTTTAAATTCGATACATTCTATGGCCGAATTACATCATCACCATTCATATTTTGCAATCGATACGCGCATGTGCCCCCCCCCCACAGAGATCACCTTATAAGGGCCTTCCCAATTGGGACCCAATTTTCCATCAGTAGACTCGCGAGTGTTGCCCGTCACCTTTCGTAGTACCAACTCCTCAACTTGGAAATCTCTTGTTCTGACCTTATTCCAGTGTTGCCATGTCAATTCTCCTTAGTACCTTGCCAGCCTGATGGATGTCGATGACCTCATTTCCTCGGCTAAATCGAGATCCCTAGCGAGAGTTTGATCATTGTTTTCTAAT